ATGCATGATATAAATGTTACTTTCGTTACTAGCAAAAATTATGGTAAAAAAAATATGAAAACTGAAAGCACTGAAACCACTTGTTGTAAAAGGTCGTTTTCACTATTCTTATGGATTTGTTTGCTATGCTTCTATTAAAATTTCATAGATTTTAAGGAAGTTATGTGACATTTATTATTACATACCTTACAGGAACAATAGATACAAGTAATTGTAGCAATAATTATATTATTGTTTGTGGTAAGGCAGCGTTCGGTTGCGGACAGCGATGCGACCGCGGAATGTCCTATACGTTGATCAGCAACGTCCAATGTATCAGAATAATGAATTCACTAACATAAAGGTGTATTTTTAGGCTTTTATTATACATAAATTTAATAAAATATGTTAATTTATTGTAGGTGGTATTATTTTGTATGTGTTACAAAATGTATTTGTAGTACTCCATCCAAACAAGGACACATACTATCTACTCGTTAGCAAATTGCCACTGCGTTATTCCAGAAATTTTCCGGAGAGCCGAGTATTGAATTTCGTCAATTGGTTCGCAACAAATTGAACTTCATTCTATCTTATAAATTGCAACAAGAGCTCGATATAAGTGAAATTGTCCCATCAACCATTTGCTGATAAAAATACAAAAGTAATTATTTTAAAGACTACGTTTAAAAAACCTGACATCAACCTCCTTGTTTTTAGAAATCGTTTAATAAATATACCTTCCCCGAAGTGTAACAAACACTTTTCTGAAAACTGCATCGAAATCAGTTCAGCCAATCGCGAGATAATCGCGTTAGAAACCTACATACATATACAGGTCAACATGAGAACCTTCTTTTTTGGAGTTGTGTAATAACTGTAAATTAAAATAAGACGGTGCCGTCTGTGTCCAGTTTACCTAAATTCTAAATATTGCTTTAAAAATGAATCAAAGAATAAATTGAAGATTTATTAAGGTCGTAGATAAGTCAGTCACGTTGGTCAAGGAATTAATTTCCATAAATACCTCTACACTTTGTTTAAGACCGATTTTTCAATCAACAGTTAATTCCTAAATGTAGAACAAAATTGACAGTTGACAGTTTTAAGTATAGAAGTATTGCCAATTCAAACTTATTCGTTTGATGAGATTTAACTGGCATTGAAAAAATCGGCTTTTAGTTTCTTCTACGCTAAAGGTTGTCGATGCTTAACCTCTTGACTGCCAGTATATAGGACACAATAGAAAATACCCTGTGTCTCGCAGATCTACGTACATAACACCACAAGTTAAACGGCTAGGGGGACAGACATTTTTTTTATTGCATAAGTCGATAAACGAGCAGACGGATCACCTAATGGTAAGCAATCGGCGCGGCGTCACCCATGGACATCTGTAACACCAGAGGCGTTACAAGAGCGTTACCGGCCTTTTGGGGATTAGGAGTTTGAGTATCGTTGGGGATTTAGGGATTAAGGAAGAGGAGGAGTAAATGGGCCTCCGGTAACCTCATTCACACGACGAAACACAACGCAAACGTTGCTTCACGTCGGTTTCCGTCGTGCCGAAGCATGGCTCTCCCTCACTAGATAGCCTAACAGAATAACCTGTCCATACCATTGACTACACCAAACATGACATTACGTTAAACAAATCAATTTCATCTCTTTCCTTTATTTCTCCACGTCATCGTTAGTATCCGTCATTAATATCGTTTTATTTACCTGACGTTCAATGGAAGGGGATCAGCAGATATAATCCATCAGCCTTTGATAATGCCTCGTCGTTTATTGACGGTGGACATGGGTTGTGGCTTGTGGTCGGCAATTTGTTACCATAGGTTACCACGGGGATTAGGGAGATTGCATTCCTTTTTCACATGGATGAGTAATTAAGATCGGATGGATATGCTAAGTTTTCTTCCCATCCTTTTAATTGGTAAGTAGCTCTTCTCTCGGTGCCGTAAGGACTACGGAACTAAATTTTTAATCTGATAAACTTAAACCTTTTTTTTATTATCATTTATTATTTCACAAAATTCTTATAATCTGAGCCCCACAGAACCGTTGCAATGGTTTGACTGTGGAGACTATGGAGTTGTAAGCTATAATCTCCAACCTACGTGTAATAACATTGGATATATAACAAGTTTGGATTAAAGTAACCTATGTGTAAGTGTCTAGACAATGGTCTAGATGGGGTAAATAATGATCTACCCCTTCTCCAAATTTCATCCCTATCGCTTCTGCCATTTTGACGCGATTGAGTAACAAACACACACACACTTACAAAGTTTTACATTTATAATACTACTAGTAAGATTATCGAACAGCAATGGTAATATTTGTATTACGTTATAAGTGTGGGAGAGCCATGCTTCGGCACCAATGGGCCGGCTCGACCGGAGTGATACCACGGCCTCACAGAAGACGACGTGAAACAACGCTTGCATTGTGTTTCGTCGTGTGAGTGAGGTTACCGAAGGCCCAATTAGCCCAATAATCCCTAAATCCCCAACGATCCTCAAACTCCTAATCCTCAAAAGGCCGATAACGCACTTGTAACTGTTGTTACTATCAGGTGATCCGTCTGCTCATTCAACGACTTATCCACAAAAAAAGCCTACATCTAAACTCTTACTTCTGTCCTTTTACCTTCTTTACCAACCCCTGCCTACCCCTTCACATAAAAAGAGGTAAGTATAATCTTACAAAGAAGTTTTTACATACTCCCCATTTGATTATGAGGATACAAAAGGTATGCTTTGTACTTTGTTATTTGAATATTTTGTTTTATGCTCAGAAACTGCCTGTGTAACATGGCCACACATCAAGCTAACCACCAATTTATCCTGGTCTCGCAGTGTTTGATCTTTCCATATGTACAACGGTCAGTTTATACTGGTTTTGCATAGCTTGATGTGAACTACGAGAGAAAAATAGCTATACATGTATATTGGACATTACGTAGTTACGTTACCGATGGGTTTTCCGAACTAGTTTTAAGGGCTAATGGAGGAAACAGTTTCTTTTATGTAGTTTGTTTTTTATTTGCCAAAATGTTGAAGGAAATATGTTGATGACGGTGTTGTAACGATATTTGCACATCTTCATGTTCGATTTAATTTTGTTCATAAATGACTTAAAGGGACGTGCATTTGTAGACACTTTATATTCACTTAAATGGGGCATAATGTTTGGCAACTCTCGCCAAGAACAGTGTTATACTGAATTTGGAAATAAAAGTTTAATAACATAGTTAAACTTCGTCTGCGTAGAATATGAATTTTAGGACAACTTTGTTACAATTTTCCAAAATAAAAGTAGCCTATGTTATTCCTTATTGCATCAGCTAACTGCCAATAAAAGTCAAAAACAGACAGACAGACAGAAACAAATCGTAAAAATGTTATTTAGGTATGTGCTTCGTGTGTATATTCATATGTATGTAGTAAAAAGTGGTTATTTTAATATTACGAACAGATACTTCTATTTCATTTATCCGTAAAGATAGATACTTTAGCTAAAGAGAGTAGTGGAGCACCATAGTAAATCTAAACGTAATAATTACATAGTGCTATATGCTATATGCTTCAATCAATAAGTACAGTTATGTATCTATACTGTACTTATTGATTGAAGCAGCACTCCCAGCATTAACTGAACAAAGTTTAAGTCATTTGAATCGTTTCGTTGTTACAACAGCAAATCGGTTCCCAATAAAGTGCCATTAACAACCCCTACAGAGAAAATTGTTCTATCCGAACAGTTTTTGGCTGTATTGGTCCGCAAATGGGGTAGGGAGAGGGTTCATTTCGTCATTGCTTTTCTAACATAACATAACATCATGCCTTTTATCCCCGAAGGGGAAGACAGAGGTGCACATTATGACACTTAATGCCACTGCACAATGTAACACCCACTTTTCACTATTTACGTTATGAGTCCCATGTAATAGGTGGTGAGTCTATTGCCATATCGGGCATAATTCCAGACTCTGTGCTCACTGAGATTTTTTTTTCAAAAACTCAGTAGGTAGTACTTTGCCCGACCCGGACAGTCACTTGGCCAACGAGGCAGTCATTACTTTTCTTGATACTTGGAATTAACAAAATTATGACAAGTTATTAGTTTTATACTTGTTTCACTTGTTTAACTTGTTTCACTTGTTACGTTTAAAAAAACCGATTTCAATCCCCTTTTTTTTTTGAAGTCGGTTAATTAAATGAATGCTATTTTATATCAACTCTTTATAAATACCTACAAATGTAGTAAATGAATGATTCAATGCCGACTATAATTTATTTAAGAACTAAAAAGGAGATTTTCAATAATTTTACGTTACAATTTAAAGCAGGGTGATAAACTAAAGTTTTGCGGCGACCCTTTTCTACCAATCTTCAAAAATTATCTGTTCTAAGTCGCAGAAATATTTCTAAAATCTTTCTTAATTAAACTTTCAATTTGAACACAATTTTGTATAAGTTCTTCGTTTTAGAAAGTATAAGTTTTTTCTGGAAATTCATCCTTAAAATTTTGTTTGATCAAAGTTGAATTATTCGTCAATAATATCATACATAATTATACTAACTATTCCTTTATACATACCAAACAAGAAAAGAAAATAGACAAAGATATGTCCCCACAATTCATTATTAACATACATACTTCCATGTACAAGAAGAGAAACCCAGAGACAGTAAAATAACCTGACACTACAATAAAAACAACATCAAAAGAACACAAAATGCACGACAACAAACATAAAGACAAAAAAGACGAAATAGGTCACACGTGACTAAACAAATTCTGAGAAAGATTCACACTGATTGATAGAAAAACATGTTGCTGTATCAGTAAAGGGTACAAAGGACATTGAAGACAGCAGTCGAATGAATAATGATAGGTGTCACAAGATTCATATAGAGTAGGTAAATACATTTTTTGAGAGGAAAAATTATGCGATGCCAACTTATTTAAAAAAAAACTTTCGCCTGTGTCGTGGGTGCAAACATAAAAGTTCACATACACATGACATTCAGACCTGGAATAACTATCTGTGGATCACACAAAGAGTTGTTCCGTGTCGAACCCGCGACATACTCCGCAGCAGCCGCCACCGCGCCAAACGGTGCAGTCTCTCCCGTTTTGTGTAAGGCGTGAAACAGTGTCAAAGTCATACTAATTGGAAAATTACTCCGTTCTTGCTGCTTCGAATCGGAGCCTCGATAACCCACTAGATTGTCTGCAACTCCGGGCTTCACTGGGTCCTCAGCCCTCCTGTGCGCGCTTAATCCAAATATTTCCCAAAGAGAAAGGGTAACTGACAGAAGATTATACAAAGCAAGAATTTTAGATGTAAGTCCTATTTTAACTGTTGTCCCAAAGTATTTCAACTGTCTACTTTATACTTATTATTTCGTAGGTTTAGCCTCAGGCTTTACTTTCAAAGTTTTAGTGTCTGAAAATTAGGAGATACTTTTTAATTTGGATGTTTTTGTTTAACATGGACTTAAATCCGATTTGTAGCTGCGGTGCTTAGCTATAAAGTTTACATGTGGACCGCCTGCAATACTATATCTTACAGTAATACTAATATTATTATTCTCTATCAGAATAAGTCGACTTATCATGTTAATGAATGACATACTTTAAACCGACAATTTTAGAATTGTAGAGTAACGAATTTAAGGAAGGAATAACACTAGAATCTATTATTGACTCGAAGACATTGCAAGCATTGGAGTCTTATCTTATCTTCAGCTGTAAAGTCCAAAGCATCAAAGTGACCATAAAAACTTCGAGATAGAAGCTGTAACTGAACTGACATTCTGAGCCACGTCGACGAAAGACATTCATATCAAATGCATCGCGATCCAAACCACACTGACTGACACCGAATAAAACCAATCGACATTCGACAAACTCGACGATTGACCGATTCCTTCAACACTGAATAAAATTGTGATTGGAAATCGATTGGGAGCAAGGATTCAAGAAATAAACGAGAGGTATATCCATTACAATCAACTCTTTTGTTATAAACGACGACATAAAATATATTAGAAGCCATCAAAACAAATCCTCCAATTTCTATTACTTAAGCCGTAATAAAACAACTTTAGTCAAAGAAAATAGCAATAGCAACTGCAAAAAACTCAATCGTCTATCACGAAATATAATTTTATTATAGATTTTATGGCGAACTGAAATTCATGTGGCACCCTAAAAATTTTACGTCTCACCGTCTGTATCGGGGGTGTATCACATAAAACAGATCATGTGTGAGGGTAGCTCTAAAATTGTGGACTATCTTTTTATTGTACATGTCTTATTTCGGATCGAAAATGTGTCTTATAGTTATAGTTCCAAGTTTAGTGGGAATTTAGGATGTTTTTGGTTGTTACTTTACTTATCTTTACGCTCTAGTTGTGTTTTGGGATGCAGAGACTACATTATGTGGTGTGTTTTTTAAACAGTACACCCGCTGGTGTATTTGATCCATAAATCGAATCGGTATGTAACTTTATGACAATCATTTTGATATTTTAAGGTGACATTGTAGTCATAACATTCTTTTAGAGACATAAGATCATACCAGATTACAAGCTCCAATGACACACGACAGACATTTCATCAACCCAGTAAAAAAGACAAGTTACAAATACCCTAAAAATACCTAGTGCTTATAACAGAGCACCTAAAAGTAACGAGCAATCCACTTATCTCAAAATGTCGACACTCTTCTTTAATTCCATGGACTTAACTGCGACAAATGTTGGTACAACGTACAACTAGTCACAATTTCATTTAATCCTTTTGTTTAGTAGTTAGCTGGCTGGAACTGCCTGGAAACTAGCGACTGCCTTCTGGGTCGGCATTCCAGGGGATTCCAACTTGATACTTTGTGTTGAAAACAGTTTACGTATTATGCAAGACAGTTGCATTACTTGCGTTAGTGAATTTTGTTGCTACGTGTCGAGTTTTACGTTGTTTTAGAGTTGCAATGAACTTTAAAGCTTTTATTTTGGGTACAATCTGGTACTAACTTTAAATGGAAAGGCAAAATTATGTCCCACGTATGTTTTATTTCTGCCATTATGATACACCGGTATTCTTAAATTTTATATAATGTAGTAAAATTACTATAAAAGACAGCAAATATTTTCTGTTCTTTCAGAATGAGGGCAACTGTGATAGTTTATGACGTGTATAGAAAACAGCATCAGCTGCATCTCCATTCATAAACTTAAGTGTGAAAATTTAAGTATAACTTTGCACTCTTGCAAATTAAAAACCCAATTTGCGATGCCATGACATCATCAATTATTGTAATTATCAATTTCATAAATCGAAAAAGATATAAAATATCTGTTTGTAATTTTACCATAAGCAAACTCACTGAGTATACACACAAATTATCATAATGACTCCTTCGTTGAAACGACAAGATGAAATATGAATTAAAAATAGTCCTATTTCCAGTACATCCAAAGAGTATTAAGAGAAACGTAAGCTAGGACTCACCAAGTAATAAACTCCGAACGGCATCACGACGACCGCCACAGTAGGTCCGCCACGGCCAAACTCACTATAAAATAATTCGTCACAGTCTGCAGCGTCCGCTCGCGCACTACACTCATAATCACTAACACATTCCCAAACAACGTGAAAAAAGGAAATATCAACAGCAACAACGCCCAAAGATTCTGCTCCGAATCATCCACTTGTCTATTAAAACATGATATATTGAATGTACCATTAAAACTACAGTTTGAATAGCCATACACGTCGGCCAAGTCTAGGCTCGAGTTGGTACTAAAGTCATGGGACGTGTTTCCATAGAAGTAATCACTAAAGTCTTCCACTAGCCTCATAAAATCACCGCTAGCGTTAGCATCCCTGACTTCCAGTTTCACTGTCGTATTCCTAACATCAGGTGGCCTTTTTGAAGGGTAGAGGTATGTCGTGTAGTGTGAGTTGTTATGGTACGGCAGCAGCGTCGTGCTCATCGTGGCTTCAGTGCCCGGGTCGGAGCCGTGAGCCTTCACTGTCATTCTGCCGCGCCCTCCTCGCGTCCATTTGTGCTAGTTGACGCGTCGCATCTGCAACCAAGAAAAAAACTTGATTAATGTTTTACTAAATCGAGTTATTATTCAGAGCTGGGGAAGATTAAAGATTTTATTCTGTAATGGGTAAGACGATTTATTATCTCTGAGCCAGCTTGCGTTCTACTATTCTTACAATTTTCCCTTGTAAGATGTTGGGAATTAGGAACGTTTATTTTATGATGTTATAATTGATCACAAAATTAGTGATTTTATTTTTAGATTTACGTGTCAAACCGAACCGATATCCAAGACAATAAACCAAATAACAAAATCAAGTTTGATAATGTAAATGAACAAATCTCATTTGTAGCCACAGATCTCAGGACTGAACTCATCAATCAATCCTCAAGGACGTCAATTGAGGCACTCATCTGCAATCTTTTTTATAATTCTCCAAGTCAATTTAAAATGATTGATTCGAGAAAAATCAGGAGTGGTTATCGGGATGATAGATTATCGTTAAGTTACCGCTAGGCGCTGCTTTAATTGCTGGTTCCTTAAGTGTTCTGTGATCGAAGGACTAGATGGGAAAGTAATTTGATGAAACACAAGCGACTCAAACATTAAGTAAGATCTTGGATAAGTTAGTCCGCGTGATTACTCAGAGACTAAAGTTTATTGTAGCTTTATTTTAGATGTAATAAAATTCATATGCTGAAATTGTTATTAAGTTTAATCTGAACATCTATCATTCATGTTGAAACATTCAACTTAAATATAATAAAGGGTTATTACAAAAGCCTTCAAGACTGAAAGATTGAAAACTTAATTCTTTCAATAACCCTGAACGTTCAGCAAATATCGCGGCAAATTCATATGGCACGCTCCCACCATAATGACTGACACTACCAATTCTGCTCACCCATTTTAGACACCATTAAACTCTAATTAAGTTCACTCACATGAAAGCAGTATGAGTGACACAGTGACAGCTTTCTTATTAGCATTTCACGTGATAACGCGTTTCTAGAATGTTCTTGCGATCAAAATCTAAATTGTTGTGTCGTCAGCAGAAAAATGTGTTTGTTATCTGAGTTCGTGTTTTAATGGACTATGGAGCACGTCTTGTTTTTGGCAGATGCTCTGTTATTTCCTTCTCTGTTTACTGAACAAACTTTCGTTAACTTTTTATTTTAGTACTATGGAATATTTCTGCAAACAATTCAATTTTGTACGTTAAATACGCTTTCACCTAAAACATTTGCGAGGCATTTTCAATTCATATCCCTCGGTGAATTGTCTGATTTTTGATGATTCCCAAAAAAATTACCTCATCAATTATACACGTTGATCCAGCAGAAATTCCCTGTGCTTTGTGTGTGCACAACAATAAGCAATAAATTGTCCGGAGAGGCCGAGATCCGTCAAATCCCGGGACGAAACATTACCATAATTCTCTTCATCATGAAACTGGCGAACTCAATTTTCGACACTATTGATTTACTCGCGGTCATTTAGGTGATAATAGGAATTAATGAGACATAAATGAGAATCAATCTTTAGGGAGCATAATAAAAAGCTTTTATTGAAATCAAACAAGAAGAACGTTGATTTTTCCTCTAATAAATCTTCGGTAACTATGGAAAGTATTTGTACCATTGAATTTGTTTAATGACCTCATTGACACTAGGTCGATAATAAGATTTGTATTAATCTACGGCTGTATTTAGATCCATATGTATTTTTTCTTGCTAATGCATGTCCGTTATACCAGATACAAGTTAAAATCAAAAATACAGTCATACACCTAATAGATATATATCAGCTCTTAACAAGACAAATAGGAATAAAATGCATTGCATTGCTTCTAGCAGAACAACTCAGCACTAACTGTATGCAGATGCAACAACTAAACAAAAATTTCAGAAAAACTTAAGACCATTAAGTGGATAGCCACCAGGTCTTGAACACCCGTGATAGATGATAGATCACGCCATTAAGCTAGGGAGCTCGGCAGAACTCATTTATCTTAGCCAATTTATACTGACACACGGAGGCGTAGTTTTACAGTTCCGTAATTAGTTTGGACGTTATAAATGGGTTTAAAAGGAGACTTTAAAGTTCCAAATTAGGTTCTAAAGTTTGATTGTTTGAGTGTAGAGGTGAGTGTAACGGTAACTGTTGAATTGATGGGGAACAATGAAAGGTGACGTTGTAGGCAGGGAATTAATGGTGCTGGGTGCTGTGATTTTTGGTGTTGTAACGACGCTTTTATGTGTTTGTTGGTGCTTTGAGGTCGGTTCTAATGTTTTTTTTTTTTTTTAATCTTTATTTAATTTTCAGGGTTTTTTCTGTAAAGAAAATGACACCCCGATGATTGTATACAATAGATACTAAACACTAAATAGTTTTTACCACTAACAAAACATAATAATAGGAAAGATCTAACCTACCCGCCACCTTAAGCCTATAATTATAATATTAAACAAAGTTCTAGCTTCATCCGACAATGGTGAAGCTAGAATGCTATTATAATACCCTACATTTTGATTGTTCACATCAAACGCCTGCCGTCTTTGAACCCCAATACGACCACACTCCGCCAGTATATGATGCACGTCTTCTACGACTCCACAAACCGCACAATTGGGTGAATTAACTTTTCGCATCATGAACGCGAAACTGTTGAGTGGGATGTGGCCGGAACGGAGTCTCAAAGCCGTCACAATCTCTGCTCGACTCATAGTGCTCATGTTGAACCAGAGGCCACGAGTAAGTGAGGGCTGGATGGTTTTGTACCAAATTCCCTTAGTTAGAGACCTACAGTCGAAGTACTCTGACCAAGTCTGTGAACATCTCTCTCTAACCAAAGGTAAAAGTTCAGTATGCCACGGTAAACACGCAAAAGGCTCCCCGTCAGATCCAGCTTCATTTGCTAGACAGTCCACAATCTCATTACCCTCCAGTCCAACATGAGACGGAATCCATTGCAGTACTATTGTAATATTTTTGGCTACGATTTTAAAAATAGTTTTTAATATGGTATAAGCCAAAGGCAAACCCCTGTATGGTGTAGTGCATTTTATAAGGTGAAGCAGGGCACTTTTTGAATCCGTAAAAATAACAAATCGATTGCCCTCCAAAGATTCTATATAAGATAAGGCTTCTGCTATAGCAATTAGTTCCAAATGCATGATGGATATTTTTGCTGTAATTTGGAATCTACATGACACGCCTGATTGAAAGTCATAAAAAGCTGAACCATAATTACTCTCGTTTCTTGAACCATCGGTATAAATAGCATGAAAACTGTGATATAATGAATTAAGTGATTTATAGCAAAGAGATCTCAATTGGCGAGGATTAAAACAGCGTTTAGGTTTATTTACAGAATCCAGAACCAGTTTTACGATATTTGATATGTCCATATTGCTGACCCAAGTATCCATGGAGAACATGTTCACAGTATTACTTCTGTATAGAGGTTCCTTTTTCAGGATATCATGTGTAGTAACGAGCAAAGGTTGTTTTTTGTTTCTCCAATACTGATTACTGCAAAAGCTCTGTAACTTGTCCAATATATTAATTAATGGATAGTCAAAACACCTGGACCTTAAATAAAACTTACCAGCCAAATATCTACGGCGGACGAATAGGGGAGGCAACGCTAATTCGGACTCCATCACGTGAATCGGAGTAGTTCTGATAAACCCGCCTATCAATCTCAGACAAGTGTTTTGTAATCTGTCTAATTTTGACAGATGTGTGTCAGCACTATTGTCCAGCAAAAAGCTGCCATAGTCCAACCGACTACGAATGAGGGATATGTATAGTCGTCGCAAGTGTTTTGGATGAACACCCCAACCAGGTCCTACCAAAACTTTAAAAATATTCAATAGTCTAAAGACTCGTTGACATATCTCATCAATATGCTTCTTCCACCGAAGACCTCGATCTAACCATAACCCTAGATATTTTACATTATCCACCAACTCCAATGATGTGCCGTTTAAATTAATGTTAATAATAGGTAACCGAAATTTTCTGGTAAATAAACAGATTTTACTCTTTTGAGTTGAAATATCTAGACCAATATCTGTTAACATGTCATTGATAAGATTCAGGGCAAATTGCATTTTGTGTTGTCCCTCGTTAACCGACGAACATAAAGCATAAATTGCAAAATCATCAGCATACTGACATATGGAGATGTGGTTTTGCAAACAATTACAAATTTTGGCGGTTATTATGTTAAATAACAATGGCGATAGTGGATCACCCTGTGCTAACCCACTACCGGTAAATCTACTCAAAAAAAAATCACCGGTTTTAATTTTTAGAATTCTCCTATGTAAAAAATTCCACAGATAATTACAAATTAAAGTTCCAACTCGAAGACTATCCAAAACTTTAATTAAAATATAATTGTTAACATTATTGTAAGCACTATCTAAATCTAAGAAACAGCTAATAGTTGTATAGCCCTCGGAGAAACCAGTTTGTATTGTAGATATTAAACAACTCAAACCATCTACACAAGACCTATTTCTCCGAAAACCCACTGTATTTTCGGAAAACACATTTTCTTTTTCAATAAACCATTCCAATCTCCTAAGTAATATGTAGTGAAATATTTTGCAGATGCAAGACAACAAGGAAATCGGTCGTAAGGAAGCTACCTGACTAGGGTCATGACGACCAGGTTTTGGGATGGGTACAATACAAATGTCTCGCCACTGAGATGGAACAAAACCATGAGAAAAGAATTGGTTAAATAAATTAAGCAAAACTGATTTACCCACGTCAGGTAAATTTTTAATCATAGAATATGATATGTCATCATATCCAGGAGATGTATCCTTAGATTTAATACACTTATTTAATTCCTGAATAGAGATATCACATTCCAGTATGTGGTTACTATGGGAGATTATTGGGTTGAAAGGTGACACATAATCCGGAGCTAAGGTATTTAGTAGATTAGTGGCGGTTTGGGAATCTACATG